ACCCTACAAGGTATGTATTTATGTAATTTAAATTATTTCAAATTAATAAAATTAACATGGAAATCTTTATTTGTTAAAGAAGACGAAAGGTCGTCTGAAGGTATATAAACTTATAATGTTATAAATAATGCTATAACGATTTAAATTAACGATTAAATTCTATAATACGCAGATATTACCTATAAATCTGTACAAGAAGGCTTCGAAATTAACTTCAATATCTAGTAAAAATTTCGTCAGGGATTACGATAAATATCATGCCATTTTAAATTATTTAATTTCATAATTTCATAACTCAATTAAATATTTTTTGAAGAAAATAATTATTTATACTTTATTTTAAAGGGACATACAGTATTTATAGTCCTGAAAACTGGAATTGCATAGATTTGCATATAATAAATGTGAATATGATCCACCTGTGATTAATATAAGTCAAATGGAACCTTAGGCACATAATTATTTATTAGAATAATAATAATAATGATTGATTGATTATTTATTTTCAATGAATTAATATTGTTAGCAGCAAAAATTTTTGAATTAATTATTATATAAATAGAGATGCAATATACAGATTGTCTAAAAAAGTCTCAGAACGACTATTTTTATAATAAATAAATAAATATTTACACATTTAAATAAAACTTTAACATATATTTTTTAGAATAGAAAAATAAAATATTAAGTTTTAATACCTTAATTATAAATTTATATATACAGTAATAATAGTTGGAAAAATAATTTTTACTATATAAATGTTTTTATTATTTACAAATTAATTTTATAAAAAATTTTGATTTTGAATTTTAATATAAAATTTCAAAAAATTTATATTTTTAACTGAATTTTTAAATAATTAATCAATTTAAAAATTTTTAAAAGTTATTTATTAATTATTTTTTGTTATTTTTTTATAAATTAATAAATTAATATTTATAATAAAAAATTTTTAAACAATTAATTTTAACAAATTTAATAATATATTAAATTATAATCAATTAAGTAAATTTGTTTTTTTATATTCATATTAAATATATTCAAATTTTTATTTTATTTATTAAGTATTTATTTAATTACAAACAAAAAAATAAATTAAAAATTTGTTCAAAGACTTTTTTAACAAAGTATAATAATAACAAACAAATAAAATTATAGAATTTTTGATTTTATTAATTGTCAATTATTTAATAATTTAAAATATTTTGATTTGTTATTATTTTTAATCAAATGTTATAATGAATCTAATATATTTTTAAAATATTTAACTTTAATAATTTGTATTATTCATGTTTATATAATTTTCAATTTTCATAATATATTAATTTTCAATTTATTTTTTTATTATTATTTAATTTGTACTATTTATAAAATAATTAATATGAACAATTATTGATGTATTTTTTGATTATTAAATTAAAATTAAATATTAAAAATATGTGATCATAATTCTTAATAAAATTCTTCAAAGAAATTATTAATATTAAAATATCAATATAAGAATAAATATATTTGCCAATCCATTCCATTTAACTTATGTAATACTACCTGTATTTAATGTATTCTTATATTTTGTAAAATAATATAAAATGCAATATAAAATAAAGTATACATATACTCTTTTGAATAAACAAAGGTTTGGTTAAAATTAATGTATTCATTATATAAAAAAATAAAGTCTCTCTGTGTAACAGATAAATTATAAGTAAGCTTAATTAAATTTAAATAAATTTATTATAAATTCTCATAATATTTAATGATTTTATAAAATTATTTAATTATTAAAAAAAACAATTGATGTAATTGTTTATTTTATTTAGAATGCAACTATGAAAAACAAAGAGAAAAAAATTTCATTGATATCTGAAATCTGCTGAAGGTGGAAATCTAGAAGAACAATGTTATCTTGAATATTGTTATAAGAATGAAATTGAAACCACGAAAAATGAAGAGAAAGTATTTTATTGGTATCTGAAATCTGCTGAAAGTAAAGATAATTATGGATAATATAATCTTGGATATTATTATAAAAATAAAATTGAAACTACAAAAGATAAAAAGAAAGTGTTTAATTAATATCTGAAATCTGCTGAAGGTAAAAATCCAGCAGGGCAATATAATTTTGGATGTTGTTATAAGAATAGAATTAAAACTATAAAAGATGAAGAAAAAGCATTTAATTGATATCTGAAATCTGCTGAAGGTGGAAATCCAGCAGGGCAATTTTGTCTTGGATATTGTTATAGAATGGAATTGGAACTACAAAAGACAAAAAAAAAGCATTTTATTGGTATTTTAAATCTGCTGAAAATGGAAATAATTATAGATAAAATGGTCTTGGACGTTGTTATTTGAATGGAATTGAAATTACGAAAAACAAAGAGAAAACATTTTATTAATATCTAAAATCTGCTGAAGGTAGTAATCCCATAGGGCAATATAATTTTAGATTTTGTTATAAGAATGGAATTGAAATAACAAAAGACAATGAAAAGGTATTTTATTGATATTTAAAATCGATTGAGAATAGAAATCCATTAGGTAAAATAATCTTGGAAAATGTTATAAATGTGGAATGGGACAGTAAAAAACAAAAAGAAAGCATTTCAATTGTACTTGATCAGAACGATTGATATAACCACAACTTCTCAATAAGCGTGCTTATACTACTCTCAAAAAACTTGTTACTGGCAAAAAAGGTAGTAAATATGTTACTGCTGCAAAACTAATCAATCTTTTTATAGCCAAAATGGGAATCAAAGTATCTGAAAAAACTATTTGTCAAACTTTGCATAAAGAACAGTTAAAAAGTTGTATTGTCTGTCTCAAGCCCTTCCTTTCAGAAAAAAATATTAAAGACTAACTTATCTGATATCTTGCACATAAAGACTGAACCGTTCGGAACTTTAAAAAAGTAGTCTGAAGTGACGAATCTACGTTTACTCAATTTCAGCAAAGAAGTAAATATTATGTTTAGTATAATTCATGTAAAGAGTGAAATGCTAAATACCTTTCTATTTTTGTTAACTATAGCTCAAGTCATATGCATTGAAGATATTTTTCATGGTTTAGTATTGGCCCCCTTGTTTCTTTTTACATCTTAGTTAAAAGTAAGATAAAATTAGTTTATTAAATAAAAAAAAAAATTAGACTTATCTTTTTTCCCTTATAGCAAAAGCATATATCACAACTCTTCAGGATTATTTTTTGCCAGCCCTTCGAAATTTTGATAGAACTAATTGGGGTCATAGTGGCTGTTCTTGGTTTCAACATGATAATGTAAGGCCACACACCACAAAAATTATGAAGAAATTTCTTGTTGATAAAAAAATTCAGGTTATGGACTGATCTTTTCGAAGTTCAAATCTTAATCTGATTGAAAATCTCTGGCATTATATTAAAGTTTGGATTTATAAGATCAAATCTAATAATTTAATGGAGCTCGAGGATTGTGTTTTAAAATATTGGAATGAGATCGATCCAGTATATTGCAAACAATTAATCAAGAATATACCACATTATATTATAGCTTGTATCATAGCTAAGGGGGCTATAAAATATTAAAAAAAATATAATTAGCTACGTAGATATCTATAAATCAATAGAACATAAGTTAATAATAAAAAAATGTGTAATTAGATATTTAAAAAAAAAAATTAATTTTTTTTTTTTTATTTTACATATTATAGCCATTAAATAAGAAATTTAAAAAAAATTTTAAATTTTTTTTTCTTAAAAACTATTGCATAATTTTTTTTTAAATTTTTTTATTTAAAAGTTTAGTTTTTAAAGATTTTAAATATATTTTTTATTTATTTAATTTTCTATTAATTTAATTTAATTTTTAATTTTTAAAGTTGTCCATAAACTTTTGTTCACTCTCTATATATTTTATTACAAGTTTAAATTAATACAATTTTTATTTTGCTTTTTTAAACAATAATAATATAATTTTAATATTATCAATTTTTTTTAATATGTATTTATTGATTTTAACAATTATATTTAGAAAAAATTGACTGTATATATTTTATAATATATGAATAAATAAAAAAATAGTATTTATAAAGTTTAATAAACGTCTTGCATTTAATGCCCCGTTCACATTAAAAAGAAAAAAAGAAAAAATAGTATTTATCTATCTAAAAAAAAATAGTTTTTAATTAAATTTATAATTTGTTTTTTATAATAAATTTGTTATTAAAATATTTATATAAAAATAAAAAAATAATCATTATTCCATAATATTTTTTATATAGGATTAAAAAATTTAATTATATATTTAATTTATAAACTTTTAATATTTTTGATGTTAATAAAAAAAATCAAATCAAAAAATAAAAATATATAAAATTTTAAAAATATTAAAACATAATAAAAATCATCAGTTTTTTCTGCCAATAAATGTATAATAAATAAAATCATTATTCTCTGATATACCCGGTGAATCCTGTTACGCGAAATCCAGTTATACCGAAATACCAAGTAATTACCCCAATAAACCGAAGATGGGTAAAAACCAGTTATAAGGGATCTTATCCCGATAAACCGAATTATCCGGTTAAAACCGATTTTTTTTTACTAATCGACCCACCACCTTCGGTTTAACGGGATTCACTGTGTATTAATTTGTTTTTTAAAGATTAATGTGATGATGGAATAAAAATGGATAAAGTAAAAAATATTTTTATTTGAACTTTGCAATTAAGTTTTTCTAATTATTATCAAAAAATATGAAATGTTAATAATGGTCAGACCTGGATACAATGACATTTTTATATAAAAAGGTTTATTACCATTTATTATTGATATATTGAAAGGCTTTATAATTATAAAAGATCTAATTGTACGATTACCTAATATTATCTTTTTTATTTTAACTTCAGGTAAATATCTTACTGAATGATAGCCGGAATATTGGTTTATATACATAAATAGCATTAATGGAATTTAAAACATTTTCAACTCGGCAATCCATCATACATGCGTACAACCAAGGTTTAGATTTCTACTCCAAGTTCTTTGAGAACAGAAATGGATTTGGTGTGACCTTTCAGTGCCGATAACCTCAAATATTCTATGCCCTTCTTTTCATCTCGTCTAACGCCAAGTTTTCCGCGCACATACAAATCCCCTAGATTATACAAGGCCTTAGAATCGCCGTTATTTGCGGATTTTTTCAAATATTCCAGAAATTCCTTAACGTTCTTTCTGTCCAACATCGAAAA